TAACTTCGGGGTTACTTCGCCTCAAGGCTATGTAAAATTCAATGGAAACGTCATGTCTACTCATATCATTTTGGGAAAATTTCACTACTATTCCCCTTATCTCCATAAGCGAAATAAAAATAATAGATATCATTTATATATATATTTATGATCTAATGCTAGTCTCAAAGACCCACTTATAAACGTAAAAACTTAACATGTTTGTTTTTAAAATGAATTTCGATTTTGGAAATTTCTATAATGAAATATTCCTTTTTATTCTTGTATTTGCATCCTGTATCTCAACCTTATTTGCCTTTTAGTGTTTTTCGCCGAAGCTCTTTCAACTACCTTTCGAATTTAAACATTTGTTATGCTATTTTAAAATCGCAAGCTGTTATGATATTCGTCGAAGTTCGCGGTTTTATGTCCAACCTAAGTTACAGTGAGGTCAACTATTCATAATCTTGACCAAATCTTCTCTCCACTCATGTATTCTCGTTAATTTTCTTCTCAAATGAGCTACCTGTCTCTAATTTACTCAATGCACGTACTTCCCTTTCCTAATTTCAGTCAAAAATTTTGGAAGCTATTGCTACGACCGCTGCTGCTGCTGCTGCCTCATGCAATGCTGAAGGCAATGCTCTTTTCCCCGCCTTAGATACTCTTCTCACAAAGTTGGAAGATCAATACTCTTCAATGCCAGCACAATCAGACATCCTCGCCTCTGGGGATCATTCTACTGCTTCTTCTGATCAGTCCTTTGCCAAAAATTGTTCGGGTAAAAGTTTTATCTCAAATGGAACTTGAAATCGGTCCCTTTTGCAATAGCATTTTGATTTCATTCTGTATCCGAGCTTTTAAACCATAATCTGTACCTGGTACTTCATTTGCTTTATTTTGATGATTGGTATTACTTTACAAACAAAAAATGGATTTGATAATTTGGATTCTTTTAATTCTACTGTTCTCAGTTGTAAAGCTTAAGAGCTTTATCGCTAAACGCAATGGCGATTTCAAACGTATCTATGATTATTTTGAATATTTTCAATAATGAAACCGAAACCGACATCCCATCTATTTATATGAGATGTACTGTTAGTCTTAAAACTCTACTTACATACGAAAAATTCCATCTATTTGTTTATCTGCTAATTTTCTATATAGATTACATGGTCTATATCATTGAGTCTCTTACTACGAACTTAGTTATTTTTCAATAAACTAAGCAATTTACTTCAATAAAGTGTTTCTTTTTAACACATATTTTCCCTACGATCATGCTTTTTGCCAAGGCCTTTTCAACTGGACCTTCGGTTTTAAAATG